GTTGATTCATCTTCGTTTTCTCTTCCGTTACAAGTAGAACATATACTCTAAATTAACTAGTGGGTAGTGGATGATTTTTTTTTCCCCCTTCATTTCTATTTTCTAGTTATTGTTGTTGTTGTTTTTAAATTCAAATATTTTAGTTTTAATTGCTGTTTTTTAGTCATTTTCACTTTTATTGGAGTTTTATTTTTTTAATTTAATCATTGGTTTTTAATTTGTACATGTAAGGTATTTCAATTCAATCCTTTTATTTTTATTTTTTTCTTTACTCTTTTGTTAAAGTTTTTATATATTTCCATTTTTTTTAAATTAAGTTCATGATTTTTATTTTTTCAACGACAATAATGATTTCAATTTAGTAACTATTCTTTTGATTTCTTATTATTATTTTTTTTTTCATTTTGTCTAAGCTTTTATAGTTTTGAATTCCATCATTCAAATCAAGTTCATGGTTTTTAGTTTTTCACTGACAATAATAATAATAACGATAATAATTGTAATGATGATCATGGTAATATTAAATAATAATAATGATGCTGGTAAAAATAATAATAATTGTGACAACAATAATGATGATGGTAGTTGTGGTAATAGTATTGATGCTAATAATGATACTTATGACGATGATAATAATAGTGATAATAGTTATAAAAATAAAAATGAAAATAACAATATTATTGATAAGAACAACAACAATAATTAAATTACCAATTATAGTAATGATAATGAAAAAATATTAACAATGATAATTGTAATAATAGTAACAAAAACAACAACAACAAAAATAATAATAAATTTAATTACAATACTAATAGCAACAATAATTACTGTAGTGGACGTGGTAGTAACAATATCATTGCTACTACTCAAGTACAAACAATAACAACAATCCTACGAAATAGAAGATAAAGAAGAAGAATAGGGGTGGTGATAAAAATACTAATAATGATTGTTGTGGTGACAACAACAATGACAATAATAATAGTAACAACAACAACATTATTAATGATAATTGTTAAAATAATAATAATAATATTAATCAAAATATTGTTATTGTTATTGATAATGACAGTATTAGTAATAATTATATTAGCAGTGATGATAATAATAAAAGTAATTGTAATGATATTACTTATTAGTAATAATCACGACAATGATTTTGATTTTGATTTTCTAAATTGCTATTTTAAAAAATACATGATTATTTTTTTTTAATTTTTATTATTTAATATTTAATTTCAGGAGAATTAAACTTTGATATTTTCTTGAATGAATCTTCCAAATTTAATAACTCAAATTATAAATTTAAAAATATTATCATATATTTTTAAATTTTTAATTTTTTTTTATTTTGAACCAGACTATTTTATTCCTGTAATATAGACAGTAAGTTTAACACAATATTTTATTTTAACATAGCTATAATGAGTGTTTTTATATATCCATTACAAATGACTTTTTATATTTTCTATTCATTTTCAATATTTAAATATTATTTTTTATTTAAAAAATAGTTCAGTTCCATGATGAATTGCGTACACAAAAGCTAGTATTGTTTCTAACAAAAGGTGAAATTCAAATCAAATTCATAATTAAACATGGATAGATAAAATTAACTGAGAAATTTTTTTGAAAATTGAAATATAAAATTATAAAAAAGCTTATTAGGAAACAAATAACAGAATACAGGGTCAATTTTTAAGTTTCCCAAGCTAAAAATGCTGAACAAACAACGAGGATTTCACGGAGTGAATGATTGTTATCGTGATGTGGGTGTGTGTATAGATATTTATACAATGATTTTCAAAGAAATTTTTAATTTAAAAATATATTTTTTAAATATTTTTAACTTTCATATATTAAAACCACTAAATAAAAGTAAAATCTAATTTTAAAAAATAAAACAATCATATTTTTAAATAAAAAATTGACATGATCAATCACATTATACTATATTTTAAAATATGTAAAAAAAATAATATACTGATATTATTATTTATATATAGTGTTTGTAACATAGACCACCGTGTAAATGTTAAGAGAATCATGGTAAATGTTAATTTTTTTATTTTTTATTTGAGAAGTTACTGGGTTTGATATGATTTTTATATTGAAGTTTTTAAGTTTGGCGCAAGTTTAGCATGATTTTTAAATTAAATTTTTTTGGATCTAAAATAACTATTAAATTTAAAATTTTTAGATCCAATTCCTGTGATATGGCTTTGAGATTAGAGAAATATAAAATATTGTTTATATATTTAATATTTTTTTCATAAATTTTTATAAAAATAAGATGGATCCGATGCAGAGAAGGCACTCCCAATTATGACACGGAGACAGCATCTTTTCTTGTGTCCCAATTACTTTAATTGGTTATGTAACATCAAGAAAGAGGACAACTCAAATGGTGGAAGCCGGAGAGAGTCCCTTGAAAAGAAATTAAAAACGCATCAGATGAAGTTTGTAAGGTAGTGATTTAGATAGTGGTAGTATTATTTTTAAAAGTGTTTTTATATAAAAATAATATATAAATTTTATTTTTTAAAATATATTTTTAATATTAGTATGTAAAAAAATTTAAAAATTTAAAAATAATTAAAAAATATATTTTTTAAACAATAACATTGTGCCGCAAATAAAATACACTGAGCTCAAGGGTTGACTTATATGCACTATTTATTTTGCTGTTTTAAAAATGTTTTTGAAAAAATTAATTTTTTATTTTAAATTAATATTTTAATATTAAAAATAAAAAATATTATTTTAATATATTTAAAATAAAAAATATTTTAAGAAACAAACTCGGAAAACGTACTTTGAATTCTCCCAAGGCAGCCTTATGAATGAAGGTTATCTCATGGAATTTACACTATGCCCCTCCAAATGAACTCATTTCTATATATTATTTTTCACTGTTCTTTAGTTTAATTAATTAGCTCCGCCATCATTCCTTAATGACCTGCTCGTGAATCTTCATATAATAAAATAATTAATCTATGCTTTTTTTAAGTCAAATACACTTTCACACAGCACACCTAAACACAATGTCATAGAAAACGATGAGTTGTGAGGAGGCGGCACCTTCAACATTGCACGTGACCTCCGACCACCACTGTTGGTTTTATGTTATATTTCCCAACCTTTTTGATGACTACGCTTTCATTTTTCCTGTCTTGTCCAGAAGAAAGAAGAAACACTGTTACCAACTCTTGCTTGACCGATCCAAGAATTATTTAATTCACAAGAAGAACTTATTTAGTTCACTCTATTTTGTGAAATTTGGCTCAGTAATGGCTCCCCAAGCCTCCAGAAAACAGTAATGTGGGTATATATTTAATATTATAATGTGGGTATATTTTAAATGTTTTTATTTTAAAATATATTAAAATATTTTATTATTTTTTAAAAATGCTTTAAAAATGTTTTCCTTTCGTTAAAATCCATATTGTACAGTAACTGGCTCATTGAATGTGAACCATTGATTGCAGCTTCGTTGAGAGAAAGGGTGGGCTCTCAGACACGTCATTAAAAGGTGACAGCAAATCGGGAAAAGAAAAGAACGTGACCAAAGAGGCTAGAGGTCTTAATGCGGCTCCGGAGTTAACGGAGGCTTTTGATTACGCATTAATTTGGGGCCCATATCAATGAAAGAGATCCAGGCCGTCGATTCCGTGGGTTGGTGTGAATACGGGGCAAGAATGGTGTTCCATGTCACGTGAAGATTAACGGTTCTTTTAAATCCCAGCATTACCCTCGGATTATAATTTAACAACAGAGATGCCATTGACAAGCTGGTTAGTGACATTTGTTAACTTTGTACCTTGTCCATGCCAATCAAGTCCTCCAAACTTTGGAATATCTTAACTTTTTGTGTGGATAATCCTGTAGCAGTTTGTTTTGGTGTTTGTAATTATATTTTAATATATTTTTAAAACATGTTTGTTTTGAAAAAATATTAAATTGATATATTTTTAATAATTTTGATATAATAATGTTAAAAATTAATTTTTTAATTTTAATATATTTTAAAATAAAAAATATTTTTTAAAAAATACTCTCCGCTACATCACCAAATATAATCCATTTCTTTTTTCATGATTAAAGAGTTATATTATTTACAATATTGAGAAAATAATAGTTGTTTGAGTTTGACATATAATAAAATTTCTGAAAAATAAATATTAGAAAAGTAAGATTTAAGGGTAGATGTTATGGGTATAAAAAATATTAAAAAATAATACCAAAAATATTAAAAAATAAAATATTAAAAGTATTTAATAACTGATAAAAAATTATGAATAACAGTGAAATTAACAAAAATAAAATTAACATTGTAAAAAGCTAAATAACACACATACATGTAAAGGATGCATAATATAATTTTTTTCCCATCTCAAAATTTATTTACTCCTTAAGATTAAATAAGTAAAGGGGATGAAAGATTACAAAGTTTTTCAATTGAATATTTGAAATATTTATTAAAAAATTAACTAAACCTGATATATCCAATTTATTTAGATAAAAAAATTAAGAATATCAATTTTAAAATTTATAAAATATTAAAATAGAGTTAAATATAAATATGAGTTCAACTATATTCATCATCACCCATTATTTTAAATTATTCAAAATATTCTCTTACATCCTTCAGCCCGTAACAACCTTAAAAAAAACCATAGTTCTTGAATAATTCTCGACAACCTCATCGCACTTATATGAAGCACTAGGAAAGAATTTTGAAAAAACGAAAAATAAAAAGTCACCTAAAAGAAAGGAATAATGTTTTTTTTTTTTTTAAATAAAAGGTGGACGATAATTACGCGGCATTCCTATCCTAATCGGGGGTGCCAGCACTCCGGAGTAAATAAACGGGATTTACAAGGGCAAATGCGGAAGTAGGAAAAAACCAACAACAGATGATGAAGATGATGGTTCGAGTTTACGCGTTCACGTCGTAGTTGTTTAAAAAAAAAAAAACACAAAACAACGGACAGAGAAAGAGAAAGAAGAAGGGAAATTTGAGAGGGAAAGGGAAGGAAAATAATAATAATAATAAGTGAAAAATTTATTTCCATTTCGTTTGCAGGTTCGTTTGTTGCCGAAGGGGGTTTAAGGTCCACACCATTGTGCTGTGCTATTCACGTGACCTCCTTCACCCTTCTTCCTCTTCTTCATTTCAACTAAGAAACTCCAGCTGTTATGGAGATAGAGAGAGTTGCTGCATTCTTAGAGATACAAGTATAGGAGTGTGCAAAACTTGTTTAGGGCAGCGCGGAAGGTATTTGAGATCTTGTGGTAACGGCATTTTGTTGCAATTCTTCAAGAAATCGTTAATGGTTTCGTCGGCATTGTTTCCCGAGGGAGGAATCTAGGGTTTCAATTACGTCGGCGTCGGATCTAAATCTGATCATTTCTTTCTCCTCGATAATGGTATTTATTGTCTCATTTTTCGACAATATTGTTAATTTTGTTCCTAATTAGTTCTTTCCTTAAGAGCTTAATTATTGAATTGAATTTAAAATGTGAACCTTTTTAGCACTAATTGGTAAAGGTTTTGAAATATCTGTTGCTTGTGATAGAAAATTAGAATTTGAACAATGTGGAAGTGCTCGGCTTTAATTTTTCCCTTTCCTCGTGCAGATATTGCTTATTGCATTTCCTGACCTTGCATATATGTTGTTCATTTCTTGTTTTAGATGCTTTCAGAAATGTTTTGATGTAACTGAGCACTATAGAATTTCTGTCCTGCTCTCCATTTAGTTGTTAATGCAAAGTTTTCAATTGTATAAAGATTTGTGCAGTGTCTAGAGACTAGATAATGTGAGTGCCTTGGTGGAGTGTTATTCTACTCTTAATTCTGCTCAGAAGCCAACTAGCTTTGTGGACCTTGTTGGAAACTCAGAAAAATGACTATGAATAACTTACCAAAAGTAATTTTTAGAACATGTTGTAAGATGTGTTAAGGGCTGGAGTCAGAATTCATAACTGATTTAAATTATTGATTATGATCACTTGAGCTGAATAATATTTTGTTTATAGATTCTGTTCAGTAGAAGTGACCCTTGCTGCCAGCATATCTGTGTTTGGGTGGATGCTACACTCTTTTCGTTTCAATGCTTATATTGATGCACTGTGGTTATGGATGAGACTTTAGTACTTTACTCTCTTACTCTCTGATTGATGTACTGTTGAACTTGTTGGCCCAACAGGCTGCTCAAGTCAATTCAATGGTTGGATCTTTTGTTTGGGTGGAGGATCCTGAGGAAGCTTGGGTGGATGGGGAAGTTGTGGAAGTTAATGGTGAAGAAATTACAGTAATCTGTGAATCAAGGAAGGTGGTGAGTTGTTTCCAGGACCTTATATCAAGTTCTCATAACAGAATTGAGAATGTTTTTTGTTTATTAAAAAAGCTTGCTCTTCAAAACCACCCCAGCCCATTATATGATATCTGATCTGATAGATCCAAATGCTTTCCTTTCTTCATTCCATGTCTGATTTAAAATATATATGGTTTTATTGGCTAGTCCATTCAAATGCTTCTTGCATGAAGGTTTGATCGTTTGTTTTGGCTTGTAGCAAAACAGGTTTCATCCTTATATTTACTGGAAGTTGAGGAACTAAAATTTGGTTATACTCTCTGAAAAGAAAGTGTTAGCATTCAAATCAAGTCAGTGTCTTACATGATAAATTGTGTGAACTGTTTTGTTATTTTTAAAGTTTTAATGAATTGATGAAAACTGATAAATTTACTAGCAAGTCATTTCCCTATTGTCCATAACATTCTTAAAATGCTGCTCGGGAAGTGAATGAAAATGGGCTATAACTTCTTTGGGACCAATTCATTGATGGAGTTGATTTTTATCTTGTATTCTTTTGTATTGCGTGAATTTATAAGTGTTTGAATTGGATTTATATTTTAACCTTAAATTATTATCTTATCCTTCAATTTGTAGTTTCTACATTTGAGATGTAAAGGGTAAAATTATCTTTTTTGTTGAAATAAATATAAAAATGATGAAATGATCATTGCTGGTGGAACTTTTGGCAAGTCCAAACTATATTGATCAGGCTTATAATTGGTATGGATTTAAGAGTTGAGTTCAATAGCATTCCAGCCTAGCAAACCAAAAAATTACTTTAATTGCTCAATCAATTGAATGCCACACAAATATTGGGTTTCCAAACAGCCTCTCAAGGAACTTGTTTTCTAATTATTATCTGGAGAAATGACTAGGAATGCAAATAAAGATACATTGATACTGCCTTCAGTTAACTATTTAAGCAGCAAGGGGCCATGGAGGTTGTTCCCCCCGGTCCCCCGCCCCTTGAATTTTGCTTGTTGTTGCTGTTGGCATTATTACTGGAACCTTGGTTGAGTGATTGAAAATATAACACCAAAGCACATGTAGGAGTATTGGTGAAATTTGCTTGTTGATAGAAGAAAGGTGGTTACTGCCTCCCCTTTAAAAGAATACATTCACAAATGCACATGCACTTATCTTTATGTTCCACACAAAGAGGTTTAAGGTGTTAAATGTTCTTGCTTTTGGACAGAAAAGTCGTATAAATGTTATTAAACCACAAAAATATCCTCAGCGGCTTATATCATGAAAGTTTTAAATTGATTTACTTGGTGGGATTCACAAATAATTTAATGAAACCCTTAATACATCAAATCAAAAGATTTTCTTCCTACAAATACAACAATGTTTGAATTCAATATAGTTTCTGAATCTTATAATCGAAAAGTTGAAATGAGGAGAATTTAGTTTTTTTCTCGTCGTTTCATATTGGCATAGATTTCATGTTAATCCTGCAGTTATAAACTGTGTCAATGCCTAGTCCATTTATTGTTATTTAAAACTCTAATTCTTATGTTAAAAAAAAAGTAAGTTAGGAATATATCAATGTCCCCTCTTCTTTCATATTGACTTAAAAAGTACATGTTAATTCCATAGTAATAAAATGTGTTTTGATGCCTAGTCCACTGTTCAATTACTGTACATCGGAGTTGGGACTAAGTTTGTGGACTGTTTTCTTTTGTTGCTTTTGTAGGTTGTTGCTAAAGCATCTAACGTTTTTCCAAAGGATCCTGAATTTCCTCCATGTGGCGTGGATGATATGACCAAGCTGGCATATTTGCATGAACCAGGGGTTTTGCAGAATCTTAGATGTAGATATGATATAAATGAAATATATGTAAGTCTTAATAAATGATCTGTATCAGCCCATCACTTAATTTTGCTGTTTGGCAGAAATCTTTGAAAGAGGGATGCTGTTTAGTCAGGCAGCTACTCCCTTTTATTTTAATAATATAGCTTTCCGTTGCCTCTTTTGTCTTTACTTTTGAATTTGAATTCTTTTTTAATCTTCTTCACTAGTTGTGTATGGTTAATGAAAGTTTTTCCTCTGAGGTACTTTTGGCGGTATTGGTATACGAATAACTAAACTCCCAGTGCTGATTCCAGACTTACACAGGAAATATATTGATTGCTGTGAACCCTTTCCGAAGACTTCCTCATTTATATGATAATCATATGATGGAACAGTATAAAGGGGCAACCATTGGTGAGTTGAGCCCGCATCCTTTTGCCGTGGCAGATTCAGCATACAGGTGGTTTGTCATATGCTATGTTTGGTCTCAATTATCAAGTACTTTCAAATTACCTTGTGGTTGAACTAATAGTAAGATGTTAAAATTTTCAGACAGATGATTAATGAAGGAATAAGCCAGTCAATTTTAGTTAGTGGGGAAAGTGGAGCTGGTAAAACAGAGAGTACAAAAATGCTCATGCGTTATTTGGCCTACATGGGAGGGAGGGCTGCAGCTGAGGGACGGTCTGTGGAGCAGCAAGTTTTAGAGGTAATTTCTTACATATTTATTGATCTAAGTAGTTGGCTTGCGAAGTCAATGTATTTCACCTTATGTTGTGAGATGCTGCTGTTTATTTCTGCAAGTGAGCCTGCATTGTTAACCCCTTGGTTGACTGTCAACTTTTCTCTCTTCATTCTGTGTTTGGCAGTCCAATCCTGTTCTGGAAGCATTTGGTAATGCAAAGACACTGAGAAATAATAATTCAAGGTGGGAAACCTAAATTAAAATGTTCTATCTCTGTTTTTTTTTTTTGTAACTTTAAGGTTGTAAGATAGAATCTTTTGGTTGATTGAGACAATCACTTTACTGAATTTGAATACAATGCAATTGCAGCCGTTTTGGTAAGTTTGTGGAGATTCAGTTTGATCAAAGAGGGAGGATTTCAGGAGCTGCTATTAGAACTTATTTACTGGAACGCTCCCGTGTTTGCCAAGTGTCTGACGCTGAGAGAAACTATCATTGTTTTTACATGCTCTGTGCTGCGCCAGAAGAGGCAAGTTGCTGTTCATTTGTTTTTTCTGAAATCTTTTTGTGGAAAGACTGGGGCAGTGCAAAGATCATTTGATGTGTCATTCTTCTCTTTAGCTCCATTTTACTATTGGAAATTCATCTAAATTTCAACCAGAACAAAAAGGATGATCTGATGCCTATACCATCTGAGTGTATGTTAAAGGTGAAAGTGAATGCCATGTCTCCATCTGTAACCCTTGATTTCAGAGGAAATAGCAGCCTAATAGCTAATCTTCCAATCAGTTTGATTTGGCTATTCAAGTCAATTTTAAAAAGTTGCTATCCTGGGATAGTAGTTCTTTTTTTAACACTCTATAAGCTTGGATATTGTGTTTGATTTGTCATGTTGATACATCATCCTCTGTATAATTTTGCTGCTAAACTTGTACCTGGATATTCTTTTAGCTTAAAATTATATTATCTACTAGTAAGCTTAGTGTCTTATGATCGCTTGTTTCCAAATGCCACGATCAGGTTATAGAGAAGTACAAATTGGGAAATCCTAGAACATTTCATTATCTTAATCAATCAAATTTCTATGAGCTGGATGGAGTGAACGAGTCCGAGGAATATCTGATGACCAGAAGAGCTATGGATATTGTTGGGATAAATGCTAATGAACAGGTTGGGTATCTGATTGAGTATTTGTTGTATGGATTATCCATATGAAAATATTTACTAAAATTTCCTTTCACAGGATGCAATATTCCGAGTTGTGGCTGCAATACTACATCTAGGCAATGTGGAGTTTGCCAAGGGAAATGAGATAGATTCTTCTGAACCTAAGGATGATAAGTCTCAGTTTCATCTCAAGACAGCAGCTGAACTTTTGATGTAATTGATAATTAGTTTTAGCTATCTTTAAACTTCTGCTGTGATTTTGATCTCATGATTTCTCAAGCACTTCCTATGATCCACTGTTTTTGTTTAGGTGCAATGAGAAGTCTCTTGAAAACTCATTATGCAAACGTGTGATAGTGACTCGTGATGAGAGCATAACAAAATGGCTCGATCCAGATGCTGCAACTGTCAATAGAGATACTTTGGCCAAAATTGTTTATTCGAGATTATTTGACTGGTATGCTGTAATGTATTTTATGCTTGCATGCATGATGCACCATCATTCATTCCCATTTTATCGCAGTGAATGGTTTAGCATTGACTAATGTCTTGAGCATTTGTCGCCCAGGATTGTAAGCACAATAAACAACTCTATTGGTCAAGATCCTAATTCCAAATCTTTAATTGGAGTTCTGGATATATATGGATTTGAGAGTTTCAAGACAAACAGGTGCTTAACTGGTATGCTTTTGTTTTCATCATTTATGGAGGTTAATTTCTTGCAGAAAAACTGCATGAAATTCCCATGTTTCTTTTACTGGGGAAAGTTAATATTTATTCTTATAATGCCATTTGGAAGTTGATGGTGATGATCTGTTTTTCTTATAATGCTCATGCAAACACTTGTAAGGAGGAACCTCAGCAATAGCTCTGCTCACATTTATGAGATAAATTATGTGGGTTGGGATGATTTTGCTCATGCAAACACTTGTAACCGAGGAACCTCAGCAATAGCTCTGCTCACAATGGCAAGCACGGTTCCTTTTGTTTGTTTGATGACTTATATATAGATAATGTAATTCTAAAAAGAGGGCATCTCATATCTGCATGGAAATATACTTTACTGTCTGTCATGCAAATTCAAGTCTAATATCATTAAGTTTGCTGCAGTTTATACTTGTATTTATTTTTGTAGTGTTGCTTGCTTGTTTCAGTTTTGAGCAATTTTGTATAAACTTGACCAATGAAAAGCTGCAGCAACACTTCAACCAGGTTTGAGCATGAGATACTTGCTCAAGTTCTTTAGCATTCATCAAAACCCTTGAATGATGAATGGTCATTTATCTTACCCTGATATTTTGTTTGACAGCATGTCTTCAAGGCGGAGCAAGAAGAATATACAAAGGAAGAAATTGATTGGAGTTACATAGAATTCATTGATAACCAGGATATTCTTGATCTGATTGAAAAGGTGTAGTATTTTTCTTTTAAATTTTAAATTTTTTTCTCTTGGCATGAAGCATTTAACATCACATATTTGCATCAGCTTTAGACCCAGTCTCAAAAACTAAGTGATTAGGCTTCCCTCTGGCTATCTTTGTGTAAAATCTATATTACAGTTAAAATAAGTGGTGTTCTGTGATACAACAACCATGCAGATTAACCTTGTTTTGTTGTCTTTTCCATCTCTATTTCTCTCCTTTATTTTATTTTCCTTCTATATTTTTTAATAGACAAATGTTCAATTTTGTATGGGATGTTGCTGTTAATAGTTTGTGTTTGAGGTGCCAAAGCATTCCAAAGACCAAAACTGTGCTGATATCTAACTCCAAATTCAGATAAGGGTTGTCTTTTGTTACAATGCCAGTCAATCCGATTTATTGCTACCATTATCATAATTGCATACAAATGCTGTAAGCTGCCATAGTTAGGGTCTTTGATGTTAGTTTTTTATTGCTAACAGTGGAAACTACAATATCTACCTTTCTAAGATTATGTTAAATTAATACTGACTTTGGCTTGTGGGGATGGGATCTGACGAGTTATTCAATTCAGTTTATTTTCTTCTCCTTTCATTTACAAGCACGTGTCGTATACCCACCTTTTGAAACAGTTAGTGCTATTGTGTCTCATAATTACTGTGCCTATCAAGTAAAGCTCAAGGACAATAAAGACTGCCAAGTAATTTGCTTGTCATTGCATCTTAAGCAGTGTCCCTTGTTGCTTCAATTAGTCAAGAAAGTCCGCTCAGTGGCTTCTTGATATGCAAAAGTGTGTTTTCTGTTGTAACTTTATATTCTTGTCCAGTTATTTATTTTGTGGTGAAGTAAATGTGCTCTTTTCTTCTAAGAACAATCAAATACTATTTTGATTGTAGAAATGGAATCACTGATGAGATTGGTCGTGGTATTTCCTTGCAAGTTAAATAGTTTTCAGATTTTATATTATTGTGATTCTAATTGGATGTTGGCTTTGTGTTACTTGCATTCATTGAACTTTCTCTCTATTCCTGCTTTTTTTTTTTTTTGCATTTCAATCTGGTACATATTTAAGCATCATAAAAGAGGATCTGACATGATGGATGTTCTTTTGTGTTTCATCTTTCAAATATGTACTCTTACGATTTCAGAAACCTGGCGGCATCATTGCTCTGCTTGACGAAGCTTGGTATGTATGTTGTAGAAAACGTAGGACAACTCTTCCTCCCATTTAGTCGATGCAGACATTAAAAAGAGTATTTTGGTCTGTCCAGAAATTTTCCATTTATATGGTAGTGATATATTAGCTTTTGTTTGTTGTTTGCAGTATGTTTCCTAGATCAACACATGAAACATTTGCAGAAAAGCTTTATCAGACTTTCAAAGACCACAAACGTTTTAACAAACCTAAGTTAGCTCGCAGTGACTTCACCATTTGTCATTATGCTGGAGATGTAAGTATTCTCTGCTTTTTGGTACATATGAGATTGTGCCACGATGCTAGTTCTTCATGCAGCAACCAAAAAGTGAAGTGCAGCTTAATACTCACCACAGGAGAATTTTGATTGTAGGTGACATATCAAACTGAACATTTTCTGGATAAGAACAAGGATTATGTTGTTGCAGAGCATCAAGCTCTTCTCAGTGAGTCCAAGTGCTCCTTTGTTTCAGGCCTGTTCCCACCATTGCCTGAGGAATCTGCCAAATCATCAAAGTTCTCATCAATAGGTTCTAGGTGCAAGGTCAGTTTATGTTCAAGCGTGCATAAGTTTAATGTGTGTTAATTAACATTTTCAACATTTTTCAGTTTTAACCCTATCTCTCTACAGCAACAACTACAAGCATTGCTTGAAACACTGAGTGCTACTGAGCCACATTACATTCGTTGTGTAAAACCGAATAATGCTCTAAAGCCATCCATCTTTGAGAATAATAATGTTTTACAACAGCTGTGTTGTGGGGTAAGATTCAAGATTGTGGTCATTTCATGTGTCATGGCATTTCTTCATTGATAAAAACCATGCCCGGCATGTATACTTTTCTGATTCCAGGGAGTGATGGAAGCAATTAGGATTAGCTGTGCTGGATATCCCACCAGGAAGACTTTTGATGAATTTGTTCGTCGTTTTGCCATTCTGGCACCAGATGTGCTGCATGGCAGGTAGCTTTTTAAATTTCTTCTCTAAATTTGTTTCTTAATTCTAGTTTTTGTTTATTTATTTATTCTTTCTTGGATTCGAATTGAATTAAATGTCCCTTTTCTTTTCTATTATTTATGCCTTGATAGCTGCTTATTTATTCTTTCTTGGATTTGAATTGAATTAAATGTCCCTTTTCATTTTCTATTATTTATGCCTTGATAGCTGCGATGAGGTTAGTGCTTGCAAGATGCTTCTAGAGAAGGTGAACCTCAAAGGTTATCAGGTATATTTTCAGTAATACCTTTTTAAGAATAATGAATAATCTTAAGGTATATCTTTTCTCTTGTAATTCATTTATAATCTATGTTCAACTATCTGAATGTCTCTCTTGTTCATGCTCACATGGATTTGTACATGCGAGGAATGACTATCAGTCAAGCAATGAATGCATGTTGAAATCTTGTTTTAAATCATGAGCTCTCTTTGGAATCTACTAATCTACATTTTTTTTTCCCTGCTATAAATTGTTGGCTTAAACCATAAAAGCATCCCCAAAACTATGGGCCATTTTGATTGAGATCCCCTAAATTATAATATCATTATCATTATTATTATTTCTGTCTTCAACTCTCGAGAATTATAAGGTGTTTTGATTGACACCCATCTCATTATGTCGTGTCCAATGCAGTTGGTAAATATCACATACAATTCACATGTTTTCCTTAAAAAGTACAAAAAAGTCACAAAACCATCAAGGGCTAATTTCATGATGATAATTTGATGATATAGCATATGATGTTTTTATATAATATTGGTGAAGGCTAATTTTTTAATGTTTCTTGACCAATTATTGATGATATTTTGATATTTTATAAGAAAACATGTGAAACTCAGATGTTTTAACAGAAACATGGATGGAATGTAATGGTGTCAATCAAAACACCTTGTTGTTCAGGGGTTGAAATTAGAAAAAATAAATAAATTAGGGTGTGTCCATCAAAAAGACCTATAGTTTAAGGGGTGTTTGTATGGATTAGCCTATGTTGTTATGGCATATTTTCTGCATTTAGAATCTACAAGGATATTTGTTTTGTACTAAATTCCCAAGGTACTTAAAGAGTGTCTTATTGAATAATTTCTATTGCAGATTGGGAAAACAAAAGTTTTTCTTAGAGCTGGTCAGATGGCGGAGCTAGATGCTCATCGAAGTGAGCTGTTAGGAAGATCAGCAAGCATCATCCAGATGAAAGTTCGTTCGTATTTTTGTCGCAAAAGCTTTATCTTATTGCGGCGGTCTGCCATTCATATCCAAACTTTGTGTAGAGGTACCTGTAGCTTCCTATTCATGCACCACCCCTTAGTTAATTTGACTGTGGTGGAGTCCAGAAATTATTGAATTTTGAATGTATTGGTCAATGATTGAAATCGTATCAGCTCATGCTTTATTTAATGTGATTGCAGCTGAAGTAGCACGCAATAGGTTTGAATGCCTGAGAAGAGAAACGGCTTGTTTGAAAATCCAGAAATATTCTCGCAGGTACCTTGCAAGTAAAGGATACAAAAATTTGTGCTTCTCAGCTGTCTCCATTCAGTCATGCATGCGTGGAATGGCTGCTCGTAATGAGCTTTGTTTCAGGAAGCAGATGAGAGCTGTGATTGTCATCCAGGTTAATTCCAAAACCTCATAAGAAATTGGTTATAGCTTTCTTATGTTATTTTTTCTTTTCTTTGCTCTTCATTTCACCTTCTTTCTTCCATTTTGGGGAAGGAAAGAGCGAAGCACGCTTGTTTTGCAAAAGCTGTCTAGCCATTCGATATAGTTAGGCAGTAGATGATTGTGAGCATTAGCATTGTTTTTTGTTTTCAATAATAATAATAATTCATCAAAAGGTTGCTCAACACAAGAACAATGGACATAGCCAGTGTATGACTGCAAATGTGAGGTGTATTGTGCTTAGGGACATGGGATTAAACCTTTTCTTTCTCTGCCATGATCTTAAGGGATGAGATAGGGCTACCCAAAGTTGAGTGGGCCAGCTTTTGACAAATCACCTGACATTATTTGTCATGGCTGACACTTTGATGGAAATGCAGTCATTTGCTGCACATCTGTTGATTGGATTTTCTATTATGTTTTTCACTATATGCTTTCTTAATCTATTGGAGTTCTTGCTTTTGCAGAGTCAATGCCGAAAACATTCAGCTCAACTTCATTATTTGAGGTTAAAACGAGCAGCAATTGCCACTCAATGTGCCTGGAGAGGGCGGGTTGCTCGTAAAGAATTAAGGAAGCTTAAAATGGTGATCTCGTCTTTCTTTATTTTCTATTTTCTTCTCCAATAAATTATATCTAAGATTGCAAATCCTGCTTTGCAAAATTTTTCGTCCATATTACTTTCTTGTTTGCTTCAACAGTTCCATAAATAATCTGATAATGAATTTTAGTATTATTTTTATTCCCATAATAAACTTGGGTGGGGCCTAAAAGCTGGTTGGGATTGCCACTACAGAAAAATTGGTTATTTTATTCATGAAGGGAACCTTGTGTTTTTGCTAAAGTAATCGATCAATTCTCTCTTAAATTTCATAACATCCCTTCTTGGGTTTCTTTGTAATTATTGTGTCCTTGGGTGCCTCCAGTACAGTTTTCTTTATTCGAATGTTGCACTTAGAGAAAAAATGATCAATTTTTAAAACCATTTATCTTGCCTCGTTTGCATGCAGAGCTGCTTGGGTAACATAAGTCTGCATAATTTAGTCTTTGCTCCACCCAAATTCCACCCCTTAAATTCCCGATCTGTTCAAAATTGCCCCATTGCTTGTGGTCTCCTAAAGCGGTTTTATTTGCTAATATTTCATTGACTCTTCTAATATGTCTGCAGGCTGCTAAGGAGACTGGTGCTCTCCAAGCTGCAAAAAGTAAACTGGAAAAGGAAGTTGAAGAACTCACCTGGCGTCTGCAGCTGGAGAAACGAATGAGGGTAGGGATGTTTGTTTGTTTGGAATTCTCTTTTCTCCTAAATAAATGAACGGCATCATATGAACTTAACTTCCCTCTTGTTTGTATGGCATTTAATAACAATGTATGAAAAGATACAATTCTTTTGTGTTGAGCTCCAGAGAGATAAGATCTTTAGCCATTCACTGTGTTGAGGAATATTGTGTTGAAGTTAAAATTACAATCTAGAATGCGCATATGAATATGCTAGCTTTGTCTATTGACTAGAAGCATAAGGTTGGATTTGTGTTTTCTGGTTTTTTTTCCCTCTAGTTTGTTAGCTATTTGGTATTGATTGTTTGTAAGTGATGGTTCTATTGAATGCAGGCTGACCTAGAGGAATCCAAAACACAGGAAAATGCAAAATTACGCACAGCATTGCAAGAAATGCAGCTTGAATTCCAAGAATCTAAAGCTTTGTTAATCAAGGAACAAGAGTCTATAAAGAAAGAAGCTGGACAAGTCCCAACCATACAGGAAGTCCCAGTTATTGATAATGAACTGGTGAATAAACTTACTGCTGAAAATGAAATGCTCAAGGTAAAGCTTTTTATCATTGCTATTTTCTTCTAAATGAACTTTCGAGCTGGTACAGGGCTTTTCAAATGACAGTTTACGTATTGCTTCTATATGACTGCATTAAGCATAGAAATTTGAAAGAGAAACAAGCAAAAAAAATCCCATTTGAGGCATGTGCTTCAACTTTCACTTAAATGGTGTTTTGTGGATGACAATTTAGGCTATGGTAAGCTCACTGGAAAAGAGAATTGATGAAACAGAGAAGAAATATGAAGAGACAAGTAAGCTTAGTGAAGAGCGTCTGAGGCAGGCTTTGGATGCAGAGTCAAAGATAATTGAGCTGAAAACAGCCATGCAGAGGTTTCTACAGTGATTTTTTTGGTCAAAAGACTCAAGTACTTAAATTGCATTTTTAAGTCAACATGAAGTGGGATAATGGGATTTTTCCTTGATAACTTAGTGTTAATTATATCAATTTAAATTACTGACAGTTTCCTTTTTCAGGCTTGAAGAAAAACTTTCTGACATGGAAGCTGAGGACCAAGTTCTGCGGCACCAAGCACTGTTTAGTTCATCTTCAAGAAAAATGTCAGAACATTTGGAAATTACCTCTCAGGTAAAGTGCATGAATATTTTTTTTTGTTAAACATTTATATTCTCATGTCATCTCTTGGAAACTTAATATTTTTTTCTTTTATTTTAAATTGCTGCAGCATCTAGAAAATGGTCATCATGTAAGTGAAGGATACATAATTTTATTTTATTTAAGATATACACCATTTCTGAATGTTCCTGTATTATCTATTGTCCTAAGTGAGCATGCTTCTTCAGGCACCACCAACTCCATCTAAAAGGCTTGGCACAGATGCTGACAAAAAAATGAGGAAATCTCAGATTGAACGGCTACATGTACGTGCTTAAAGATGGAAAAACAGTTTTTTTCCCCTGATTTTTGGTTTGGGAGTTTAATGGTGATGTAATCCTAAATTTACTCCTTTTCTCTGTGATGTAGGAGAGTGTAGATGCTCTAATAAAATGCGTGGAGCAAAATCCTGGGTTTAGTCAAGGAAAACCAGTTGGAGCATTTACCATTTACAGATGCCTTGTCCAGTGGAGATCGTTTGAAGCAGAAAAAACCAGTGTATTTGATCGTCTTATTCAGATGATTGGTTCTGCAATAGAGGTAACTTGATTTTCTCCTTCCATGCATGGTTTATTTGAGAATTATCCTGCCTCTAAACCAAACCACAACATAGGTAACTGAAGAAAAAACAGAATTGTTCAGAGTTCTGTGATTCAACATCTAACATTATGGATGATATGTAATGCTTGCAGAACCAGGATGACAATAATCAAATGGCATATTGGTTATCAAATACCTCAATGCTGCTGTTCTTACTTCAACGTACTTTAAAAGGCAGTGGTGCCAATTCAAATCCACCACCTCCAACATCATTTTTTGGAAGGATGGCCCAAGTAATGAGATAACCCCCCCTGAAATTTCTTTTGTAATAATGCTCACATAAAAATGATCTCATATCATGTAACTATATTTTGAAGACGCCTAACTCTACTTTAATTCACAAGATTCTATTCTTCTTTTGTTCTCAAAGTTTTATTTAATGTTCTGCTTATGCAAACGAGTCATTTGAGACCTGGTATTTCTTCAGGGTTTCCGTTCTTCACCTTCGTCCGCCAATCTTAGAGTTGGTAAAGATATACAGATGGTTGAGGCTAAGTATCCAGCTTTGCTTTTTAAACAGCAGTTGACAGCATATGTGGAGACAATATATGGCATTGTTCGGGATAATTTTAAAAAGGATTTATCACCTCTTCTTTCATCATGTATCCAGGTAAACTGACCTTGATTCTTCAATTGTCATCCTGCCATGATATATTTAATGTGCCTTTTATTTTTCCTATCAGTAAATGGGCAAACCCATTTCATTTTTTCAATGATTCAAAATGTTATCATAATTTATGCTTTTATTTTTGTTGAAAACTAAAAAGAATTAAATGATTCAATGCATGATCTTGAAATCTAATTTTAGTGTTAACCATAGATTTTGATGAAGTGTTATCCTCAATTGAATTTATATATATATATATATATATATATAGCTTAATTTCGTTACCTTTTTCCTTTCAGTTTTCTTTCATAATCAGATCAGTAAACTTGTCATTTTTGTTGCATTGAGTGTATCTTATGCAAATATTTGAAAGATCTCTGCTATAATTTTCAGATGCTTTAATATAGATTTGATGACCAGTTTTTTCCTTGGCTTGAATGCATCTTCTTTCTCACTACCGAGAAAAATGATAGTGGTTGTGCTTGTAATCAGAAGAATTTCAAGTTGTTCTCAATGGACTTCATGTGCTAGTCTAGGAATTTCCCCAACAACCATAATTTCTAAGACTAATAATGAAACTCAGGCACCAAGGGCATCAAGGGGAACTGCTTTAAAATCATCTCTGTCATTTGGCCATAATACACCAGCTGATTCCTGGCGCAGCATTGTCAATAGTCTTGATGGGCTGCTATGCACATTGAAAGAAAATTTTGTACGTAATCGTTGCTTTCAACAACATCAAAGTAATTCTATTGTCCTTTTTATGCTCTGAACTATGCTTAATGTTGTTTCAGGTGCCTCCAATTTTTGTGCAGAAGATATTTACTCAAATTTTCTCATACATTAATGTGCAGCTGTTTAATAGGTAAAGAACTTTTCTATCCTTTTCAAATGTCAAATAATGCTGTATACTTGGATACTGTTGCATGATACATCATTAACTTGACAATGCAATCGTTGGTATAATTGCAGCCTTCTGCTCCGTCGAGAGTGCTGCACATTCAGCAATGGGGAATATGTGAAGGCTGGGTTAGCTGAATTAGAATTATGGTGTGGCCAGGCAAAAGAAGAGGTACCCTTCTAAATTTGTCTCAAAGTAAATGCTGTATTCACCTTAATCCTATCTTTTGTCGTTATTTCTGTATCATCAGAAGCCGCTGTTTTTCCATGCCACTTCAGAATTCTTATGTAGGGTATCTGAACAAAGTTAGCAAGGCTGCATTAACAATTAATGGTTTTGTTTAAATTATTAAAATCAAAAAGTTGTGTTGAAAAGAAAAGCAGAAACCAACATTTTAGAATTATACATTCTATTTTTCTCCGTTTTTTATGTTGTTTAGCTATTATTTTATTTGCAAGTTGCTTTTATGTAGTTGATAAAACTCTGAGTATGATTTCATATCCTGTAATGACTATTTGCATGCTTCGTCTACATCATGTATGCTTCAGTGCAAAGGAGAAAACTGTTATTTTTTTAAATAAAAGATTTGATTTTTTTTGGGGTTCTTTAGACCTCTGTCTTTGTGCTTATGGTTAATAACCTTCCAAGGGGGCTTTGCAGTTCGTTTCCATATTAATTATTGTTTGTATATTGATTTTTGAATTGCAGTATGTAGGAGCATCCTGGGATGAACTTAAACACACTAGGCAAGCTGTTGGATTCTTGGTATGGTTTTCTCCATGGATGTTGCTTTCCTTTTTGAGCCTTGTTATGGATTTTACGAAGATGACACAATTAGGTTGAAACTTGAGTTATGAAGAGAACATTGCTACCACTCATTGCTTATTTGTAATCCTTTTTAGGTTGCCTGAGAATAACTTTAGGTATGTAGTAAGTTTTCTCTTTCTCTGAGGCAAAAGTAGAGTTTTGCCATAAAGAAACGTGTCCATAAAATGAGAATGTCACGAGAGAACACGAGGACATAATAAGAAGGGATCCAAATACTCTGATGTTTGGAGAGGAACATGAATGGTCATGTCACTAATTTTCACATTCAATGATCTATATTTAGTGAGCGAAAAATATAATTACTATTTAAAGTGTTGCCATGCTTAGCATGTGCTAAAATCATGCCATTCATTTTGAATGTGATAGTTTATATTTAATGAACATGGACCAAATACGGGAGACAGGAACACAGTAAGATCTGAAACCCAATAAGAACACCTTCAACAAAAATGTAGAAGTTATGATGATTGAGAGAGGTTTGAGGATTAAAGGACAACATGGGTGATCCACTTTTGTTTAAGTGAGGGAGGGAGAGCAGTGAATAGAGAGGAGCCGTGATGTAAAGCCAGAAAAGTGGGGGGAAAAGCAATAACATGATCAGTGGCGAGAAAGAGAGTAGAAGCATGCACTCTGCACTGTGAGAAGCTAAAGTGGAGGCAGAAAGTTTCTGTACACTAACATTTAGGTGCTGTTAATCCAAACCTAATGGACAAGGTTGAGCCTGTTTTAAGTCAGTTCAATTGTTTTTTCTTTTTGTGGTAGTTACTTACTTAGGCCTGGGTTTCCTTGAAGTTACAATCTGGCCCAACTATTAAATCGATTGTTTTGTCATACTTATATTTTGTGTTAACCTAAAAATGTAAAAGAAACTAACATTTGTTTCATTTTTTATTTAATTTTTAGAAAAGAGAGAAAAAGAATACTTGTGCTGTAGAAGTTTCTTCCTTTATCATGACATGGTGATTTTCTTGTCATAAGCAAACTGAGTAACTGTTCCTAAGCATACCAAAATGCAAATTAACATATCAACTAAGCCTACCCCTATGTATTCTGAATTCATCTATGTGCGAACCCTGTTCCTGAATCTTGTCTCAAATGTTTCACATTTCTTGTAACCATGGCCTATACATTGGGACATTGGCATTCCATAATTTGCTAAAAAATCTGTAGTTTTTGATGACATTAACTTGTTCTTTAGCCTTGACAATCTCTTGTCACCTGACATTATAATTTTACAATTTCTTTTAGTTTAAGTTGAATTATACTGAAGTATTGTTATAAAACACCCCCTTTGAAAAGTTTAGTTGCGCATATGAAATTTTGCATTTAGTGCTTTTCTGTTTTGCTGAAATTGAAATTATTCTTTTAATTGTATTTTTAACTATTCTAATTCTGCATGCTATTTGCCTCCAGGTTATACACCAGAAATCAAGAATTTCCTATGATGAAATTACCAATGACCTTTGCCCGGTATGTCTCTCCTTTCCTCCCTTCTTCCTCCTCTCCCTCTCACAGTGCGAGCACACACTTGAATTGACAAAATATCAGAGCTGTAGGAGAGTTGGTGATGGAAAAACTCAGTGAGGAAACTTCTTACAGAACTTGGATGGAAACAGGCATATTGTTTGGCATCATGTCAATAATGAACTTGAATTTGCAAAATATCATACCCGTTGGAGAGTTAGTGATGGCAGCAAAATTCAGTGAGGAAACTTCTTAAAGAACTTGGGTGGAAGCAGGTGCATTGTTTGGCAATTAGTCAATAATGAAGCAAGAATAATGCTAGCTGTACCGAACTTTTAGAACTGATGTGGGAGTGGCAGCGGCAGCCTTTGATAGGTGTTGTGCAATTCGTCATATAATGTGGCAGGTCAATTTTGGAATCAATTTAGTGAATGGTTTGGCAAATTGTCTCTACATTTGCATTCCTGTGTAAGCAATTGCCAGGAAAAAGAATGGGAAATGGACTGTGCAATTGCCAGGAAAAAGAATGGGAAATGAGAAAGGAAAAGCGAAAAGCAACTTGGGTTTCTGCTGTGCCATTGCCAAGTTATTTGTAGTTTTTCTGATTAATATATAAAGATTGCCATGCCCTGCATCATTCGAAACTCCATCTCCCCCCTCCCCCTTCCCCCTTCTATCTCTCATCAGTTCTTCCTGGTTTCAGGTCCTGAGTGTTCAACAGTTATACAGAGTATGCACTTTATACTGGGATGACGACTACAATACTCGAAGTGTATCCCCTGATGTAAGTTGGATTGAATTGATCATTTACTCGTTAGATTCTGTATTTTAAGTTTGCCAAGTATTAATTTAAATCTGTTAATATTTGATGTGTTGCTGCACCTTGTGTTTGTGTAGGTGATTTCCAGCATGAAAATACTAGCAAACGACTCAAATGATGATGATAGCAACTCATTCTTGATAGATGACAATTCAAGGTAAAATGAAAGTCATTCCTTCTAAGTGGATAGATGACGAGTCAAACTCCCAACTCATTATGGCACTTGAATATGCAGCATTCCTTTCTCAGTTGATGACTTATCTGGCTCCTTTCACGAGAAGGATTTCTCAGATGTAAAACCTGCAGCGAATCTTCTGGAGAATCCAGCCTTCCAATTTTTACAGGATTAAGGCTGTGATTTTTTAGCATTTTGCCTCTTCATGATATTCTGTCAAGATATCCAGTCATTGCCACACTGTAAATACTCCCTTCACTATTGTAGTTTTGTTTTTTCAGTAACATCTGTTGCCCCAAATGTAATGTTATTCCTTTACATTAGAGTTGTAAAAATTTCATTAGGCTGGTTCTCATAGTCAAAGGGGCATGGATGGGTTTTACTGGTTTCCATTTAGTTTCTTCTTTTCATTTTTATAGGAATACTTGGGACCAGCATTCTTTGTAGGGGTGGTAGGAGGGAAGAAATTTCAGTGTAGGATGGTGGGAGGTAGCTGATCCCAAGATTACTCTAACCACCATGTTTTAATTGTACAAATACAGAACATGACTTGATATCTATAGTAAAGTTGTTGGGTTATCAGCACATTCCTTGTTGACAGATTTACTGATGTTTGGTGCTGGTTCCTAGACTAGCATCTCTGCGTGGTTTTTATGCTTTACTGATTCTTAATTCTCCCTCACTGTACATTTTCTAGCAGGTAGTGGTTTGATCACCTGGGGGTGTTAGGGCTGAGCATATTCGGTTCAGTCTAGTTTTGAATTGAGCTTAACAAATTATTTTTTGGAAGTTTTTAAACCAAACTAAACTAAAAACCGGATTAAACTGATCAATTTTGGTTTGTTTTTCTTCCTTCGCGTGAACTGAAATTATTCCAATTTTCGGCTTTCTATTCCTTGATCTCAAATTTTAGGTTCTGCTATTGGATGCACACCTGGAATTGGATCTGGAACTATTCTATTCTTTGACAGGATCATAGCCATGTGAGAGAAGGCTGAACTTAAAAGCGCAAGAACTGAAAGTTTGCATGTCAGTGGTCTCACTGATTATAGATTATAGAGTAAGGAGAGAAAGGAGTCGGTCCCGTGGCCCATAAAAAAGTGTTCCGTTTGAACGGCACACCTGGCATATCCCTCCATGAAAAAGATTGGCACGCACTGTGTTGTGCATTTAGAGCGCATGTCCACCTCAAGCCCAGATCCTGGTTTGGAGGAGGCGGCAAAATATGAGAGACGAGAGACAGGGGAAAAAAAAAAAAACTAATTTAGGTTCAAGGTTAGAAAAAAAATATCCTATCTATACATTTTTTTTTTTAAATGCTGGTTGAATTGTTTTGGTTTGATTGGGTTCAATTAGTTTCAGATTTTAAAAACCAAAACTAAAACCAAATCAAACTGAAATTTTTGTGATTTTGTTAATTCGGTATCAAAGTGAAATTTTTGTGATTTTGTTAATTCGGTTATTTTAGTTATTTTTATTTTTAATTTTTCGGTTTAATACTGAGGTGTCCTTCGTCTTGTTACTTTACTGAATAGAGCCTCGCTACCTTGATGTCTGAAAGAACAGCGCTAGTTGCCTCTAGGACAATGACCTCGGTCTTGAGTACTTGCCCAAGATGTTGACGACAGAGTCTGTTCAGTTAACAGTCTTGGATGTTTTACGAATACACGTAATTGTATCCAACACGGAGAAGTCCAAGAATTATGGATAATAGAATTTTATCTACCTCCATCTCTGAAAAAAAAAATAAAAAATAAAAAATGAAGAAAGGAAAAATAAAAAATTAAAAAAAAATGAAGAAATAGACATGGCCATAGAGTGCTATGATCTGCTCAGTCGTTTCTCTGGTTCAACTTCAACGCTCGTCTTGGACTCATCTCAATCGAGTCTCATGGTTTCATCCAGGAGCAAAAGGGATGATAAAATAAATTATCTGACGGTTAGAATTCGTATGGAGTTGGCCTTGGGTGGTTCGGAATTGGTTCTGGACGATGCTCCTTCAGAAAGCAGAGCCCGTATTTTTGTTGCGGTTTGAAATGTTTTATATTTAAAAATATATTAAAATAATATTTTTTATTATTTTTTAAAAATTATTTTTGGTACTAACACATTAAAATCCTCTTAAAATATAAAAAAATATTAATTTTAAATAAAAATAAAAATATTAAATTTTAAAAAAATATAATTTAAACTGTCTTTTAGTTGTTTTGGTTTTGTTGAGATTCATGTACAGGTGTTTCAGCTGAGGCCAACAGCTGAAGGACACGGTTTCTATGACAAGATAAGAAATAAACGGTGACGTATGGTTAGCAAATGATTAAGGGGCCTGGGCAGCACATGCCACTGCTGAATTCGAGAAACAATAACATTAAAGGCTTTTGTTTGACTGGTTCTTCAGTGCCATGTTCTTCCAACATTCATGTGCTCACATGGTGCTGCCATGTTTCAGTTTCTTATTCCCTCACTTGGTAGAACGTTTGACTCAAAATCATATGTTCGATGCCCTTTCAGTTATTACAGTTATGGAGTTAGTTGCTCCTCGATATTCTTTAATATGCATATTCTTTATAATTAAATGAATGCATCAAATTATTCAACGGTTGTGTGTGTGATACATATTCCTTTTCTTTTTCTTTGGTTTTTTTAACACCTCAATATAGTTTTACTAATTCATTTACTCTTTAGTTATGGTATCATTATTAAATAATATCTTACATTTTTTTATTGACTTTTTTTTTGTAAATATTAACTTCCAATCACATAAAATAATATAGATATGTTATTTTGATATTGTTTTTTAAAATATATTTCAGCAATCATATTTTTTTCTTAAAAAAACAAAATCAATGATTACAGTTAAAATATTGTGTTGACTAAGATAAATATAAGATATATTAATAGAAAATTTATCCTTATGAACAAAAAATTAAAACAACTGTATTTTTTAATTTTATGATGATATTAAATATTTTTCTAAAACTTAAAAATTCATTTTATATTTAAAAATATTTGAATCCCCCGCAATGTAGTGTGGACATACCAACTAGTATTTGACTAAATAGATATACATTGCTTGCTTATGGGTAGTGCAATGATTTTTTTTTTTAATTTTGGTTTGATAGGAAAGTACATTGAGTTAATTAATTCTAGCTAGCATATAAGAAATTTCACAAACTTTCAATTATTAAAATAGATAAAAAAAAAAAAAAAAAAAAAAAAAAAAAAAAAAAAAAAAAAAAAAAGGAGTTGATTAAGAAGTTTTATTGAGATATCTTGTGCCAAAAAACACTTGGCCAGCTAATTTAAGTTTCTAGCATCAAATTCTGAGCACATAGACTACATTTCATTGATTTTTCAGGTGTCTTGTCTATGAAATAAATCTCTGCAACTCTCCCGCTCTCGCGACCCACATGAGTTGGGAGAACCAAATCCCTAGCACATAGCAAGAACTTAATATTGACAATAAAATAAAGTTGTTGGAGCCACAAGAAAGATTTTTGGTGGAGCCAAGTGCAATGGCATTGGGATTGCTTGGCCTGAATCAGACTTCATTCAAACTTTCACAACCGACCTCATCATCGAACCAAACCCTATCATTGGAGATTGTGCTATATTAATTAGGGAATGATATTCTTTCTTCCAAGAAATGGAGCCTGCCCATATGCTCTCTCGATTTATTAATCTACGAAGAATCCCAGTATTAACTTAGTGGGGCTACTATAATTAATTGTTAATGATTTCTCTAATTCTTAATTATATTCCTTGGTTGTTCTTCGAGAACTGATATTTTTATTCACTATATTCTTTCTGCCAATTAAATTTACTAAAATTGAGAAAGAGAAACCATCGTTTGAAAATAAAACAATGATCTTCTTGTGTTCCATTCGCACAAGCAGAAATATGAACAGACGAGAGGATCATATATATATATATATATATATATATATATTAATCCGAAAGAGACCTAATTTGTTTTTTTCCAATTGGACATCTTATCTTTTTTGTGAATTTAATTGCAAAACATGAATATAAAAATAGATTACTCATATGCTACGAATTCCCACGACACATAATAAGAATAAAAGCTGAACCTGATTGGAAATCGAAAAATATATAGATTGTGAATTCTCGAGGCTTGCATGATCAGCATGCTTGAAACTAACTCGACTGGTTAAAGGGTTATTGTAGTCGGTGGTTCTTGCGAGTCAAATAGGAGATGAACATTACATATATATATATATGGTTTGTAACATGGAGACTTAATGAGTTCTATATATCAGGTCCAATAATAATGTGGTCTCCGCAAATGATCGATGCTTATCTAATTAAGGCTCACTGATGATTAATTAGGAAGAGAAATCTTAAATATATTATTCCACTTTCTAATTAACTTCTCATGTATCCATGTGAGCCTTGGCTAGTTTAATGTGAATTGTATATTCACTTCTTCTCCTGTAGAATTAGAGAAAGGTCCAAATGCTAGCTAAAGAACGTGCCTGTGCGCATAAACTATAAGCTAGGATTAGAAAGGAACATAAATATTGCCAAAAGATTTCGAAAAAGGTAACAGATCCTAAGGCAATAATCATATGGCCGGGCCCTTTTCTAATCACTGTTTTAGCTAAACGATATCCCCTTTTTCTTTATTCTCTCTCCCCATCAAATCTTAGTAACCCGATTTTGAAGGCATATATTCGGCCCTTGATTCTTTGTTGACCATCGAAATGAACAACCACTAGTAAATAATGGATAATTTCCCATACTCTAAGGGCCTCGTCATATGGGTGAAATTTGTCTTTTTTTTTTTAAATGTTGGGAGAGTGAAGATTCAACAGCAAAACTTCATCATGTGTGGAAAAAGAAATTGTTCAAGGTGAAATGCCCATGGTTACTGTTTTGGTAGAGTCAAGCATTAAAAGTTTAAATTATTGATGGAATCAAAACATAATAACATAGATCTATAGCTATTAATATACATGATGAGTTCCATGCTTTAATGTTATATAATAAGAAATGACGAAAAAGTAATATTTGGTGCACCTTCATGCTTAAAACTTCAAAGGATTAACAAATACAACGTAGGACTCAGGAGGGAAGACCTTATTCTTTCTTAAAGGGTGACCCTTCACCTTATTTGAATCACAGTACTATCAAATAATTAAGAAATAAGGTGTTTGAGAGCATGATAAAGCATATTAAAACAATTTTAAAATTTTAAAAAAAATCTAAAGTGAAAATAAAAATAAAATTATTTCTTTTAAAAAATATTTTTTAAAATAAATAGGGTCTAAGAGTGTATATTTAAGGTTTATAGACAGCCTTCAAAGTTAGAACAACTTTTCCAGGTCAAATACCACTTTTAAGTTTTGTTTTGGAATCTTTTAATTTGAGATTCAGACCAAATTTAACCGGTCTTGCGCCTATTATCTTGGTTTTTTTATCGTACTGTTTTTTCTATTGTTTTTATTAATTTCTAGGAGTTTTACAGATTTTGTGAAATTAATTTTTTTCATTTCATCCAGTTATTAAATATATAACCCTTCAGTAAAATTAATTATTTTCTGCAACACAGGTCATTGACCATTTAATTAGACTATATTTCAATA